CTGGTCATCCAGTGTCAGCCGCGAATCCAGGAGAACACCCAAGTTGCGGACCCGATCCGAGGGGGCCAAAGTTTCGCCCCCTATAGTCAGCGATGGAATCAGCTGACTATGCCGAGGCGCTGGTAGCCACAGCCACTCGGTCTTGGACGGGTTGAGTCTGAGTTTGTTCCTCCCCATCCAGACCCTCACGGCCTCCAGGAATTGAACATATAATTACTAAAGATAGTGATTTGTACTGTTCATTGCAAACTTAATTGAATTAAGCAATTAAGGTTATCAAAAACTACCCAGGCAAACAGAAGTAGAAGTAGAGAAGGGGTTTCCTAATATAAAGAGGTTGATGGTTCCAGCTAAATCTATCAATCTGTAGATCACTTTGTGAGAAAAGCAGTTTTGACTACAAGGTGCTTCATAGAACCAGCACATTTCATGTAATTTAGTGGATGCCCTCATTGCTGCTTGCAGTGAGCAGGCAATAGGGAAGCTGGACCAAACTGCACCCATGCAAACTCTCTGTGCAGGCAGATCTTGTAGAGCACCATGGTTTACTGAACCCATGGTTTACTGAGTGGCTCTAAAAAATGAATAGACATGGGATGTCTAGAGTGCTGCTTGAGGAAGACAAGTCAACCAAGCGCTTATAAGAGCCTTTGTTAGAATATATTTTGTGTTGATAAGGAGGGAAACATCTGCAAATGTTTCATCAAGCTAGGTAATATAATACAAATGTTCCCTGCCAAAGACTTGTACCTCTAAGGAGAATTGAACTGAAAGGCTTCTAGCACCATAATAGGTTAAAATTGTATACTGATCTGCACCAGGACCTGGTTTCTGGAGATTTGGTGGTTCTGGATTCTGCTGCTTAATGCCAAGTCGACCTATAATAAAGCTCACCTCATCCACATTCTAATTATGGATACAAGAGCCTTCATTAGGATGCACCTTGTTTTGATAAGGGCAGCAAAGCATACTTACTTATCTCCATTAGGAGATAGCCACCTAATGGATCTATTTCACTTTATCAGATCCCTTTTGGGTAAGGAGGAACTGGCTCTTGCAGGGCCACTGTGAGGAATATTCTCAGCGTTTGTCAAAGTTGCTCAGCTTCTCTGGACTCTGGCTGGGCAAATCCTGTGACCAAGACACATTTGAGTCTTATCATCTGGAAGGAATTTCAGATGATTGATCCTGAGGAAGTAGATAAGAGTCCTTGTGGCTGTGGACTCTTGGCCACCTGCATTCTGGATCCATGCCCACCAGATTGGTTAAGCCTTCCCAGGAGGTGGCAGGTGGTTGAGTACAAGCAGTGGTTTATCTCTCTTTGTAGGAAGGATAGGACTGTCTACCTTGAAGCATGTAGTGGTACATCTGCTTCTCAAGAGGCCATTATTGGACCCAACAATCATTCCTAGCATATCCTCAGAGCATCAGCCCTCCCAGTAGCATCCTCCGTGGCAGGCACATGGCTCCAGCTGAAATGTTGAAGCTTTTTAGGTTTGTGGCTCTATTGATGCAACATTGTATCCTATAATATACATGTATAGGACATTCAAAATTGGAAGGTGTTTTTCTAACCTATAAGCAACTGTAGATACATACGAAAAACTTTAAGTGTGTGTGCCATACGATTGTGTGTGTGTGCAATAGATACGATTGTGTATTAAATAATTTTATTATTCAATAAATGGCTTATAAAAGGATTCTTTTCTAATTGATTATAATGTAGTATTTTACTTCCGGATGCTGCAAAAAAAAGAATTCACGGAGAATGAGATGAGCTTCATCTATCACCAAAATATTTTAATCTTGCCACTGTTCAGCAATGCATAATCCAGTATCTCAATCATGCCGACATCGTTTACGTATTTTCAATTACAAAGGAGGTATTTTAACATTTATATTCTACCCGTCTTCCAAATCAGGCACTCACTCACTGCCGACTTTATAGTGAGGCAAGGATCAGCACTATCAGGAGAAGATTCCCCATGTTAAAAAAATTAGCCAAAGAAAGCAGTGTTTCTCAACCTTGACAATGTTAAGGCATGTGGACTTCAACTCCCAGAATTCCACAGCCAGCAATGCTGGCTGTGGAATTCTGGGAGTTGAAGTCCACATGCCTTAACATTGTCAAGGTTGAGAAACACTGCCTTACAGGGTTTAGTCATGTCCCCCATAATAAGGAATTTCAGAGCGATGCATCGCGGATTAACGCCGGATTTGTGCTCGTTTGTGCAGCTGTCCCCTCGTTCTTTCTTTAAAACATCAGGAACCTACATTATCTTGAGGAGTTTTGCTCCCCCCTCCCCCCCCACCCAAAAAGCACAGCAACAAAGATGCACGAAACCTCCCGACTGATAGGCCGTCCCTCAGCCTCGACCTGCCCCGGAAAAGCTCCATTCGCTTCCTGTCCCACCCCAAAGCTCCTCTCTGGTTACCACCACCAGAGCCCGCCGGAAGGTACGAGGAGCCGAGAGAAAGCAGACACGCGTCTTTGCCGCTCGCCCGCCTCGCTGTGTCTCTCTTCGGGTGGGGGGGGGCGGTTTGAGGCGGCGGCGGCGGCGGCTTCCGGCGAGCGCCCCCGAGCATCGGTGTGGCTGCTGTCATCGGGCCGTAGCGCCGGCTGCCCCTTTCCCGCCCCGTGAGCGCCCTTCGTCCGTCCACCGAGTCGGAGAGAGGAGGACCGAGCCATGTCGCGCAGGCGGCACCGGGACGAGAACTATGGTGAGCGGGAGGGAAGCGGAGGGTGAGGGTCGTGAGCTCTGGGATAGGCTGTTTTCCAATCAGTTGCACACCGATTTCTCTCCCAGTTTGTTCGGGGCAATAATCTGAAAATATTTGAGTTTCAGATGGGCTAGCTCAGGGGTAGGCAACCTTGGCTCTTTTATGACTCGTGGACTTCAACTCCCAGAATTCCTGAGCCAGCTTGGCTGGCTCAGGAATTCTGGGAGTTGAAGTCCACGAGTCATAAAAGAGCCAAGGTTGCCTACCCCTGGGCTAGCTAAACTAAACCTGTATTTGCAGATGGCACCTGTACATTAAGCCTAATAATGTAACACCGGACATCTCTATCCCGTATTCCAGGTCTTTTGTCTTCTGCTAAAAGTTGAGCTGTGCCTTGTAGTTATGGAAGGAGCTTGACAGGTTCCCAACCTGTAACGATTTTTAAAATTGATATTTTATATATATATATATGCTATCCTATTTTAAATTCACAGATTTTTTGTGCACATGCAGGGATTTTCTTCATAATCACCCCCGATCTGTTTAGGTGAATGGGAAGAAAGAATCCATTATGTACATTGTTGTAGATTGTTATAAGGAAACACTGTTAATATCGCAGGTGTAACTGTCCACAGTTTAATTTTGCCTATTTTAAAAATTGTGTTGGCATTGGTTGGGAAGAGGAAAACTTCCACTTCTGATGACATTGTAGGATTATAGCTGAATTTAAGTTTTCTTCTCAGCTAAATGTAGTCAGTGATCAATCTGTGGTTAGCCTACCCCCCTACCCCCCCCCCCCACAACCTGATAGAGAAACAAATTGCAGGACTGGAAAAAGAATGAATCCATTCCTGTAATAGTGGACCTAAACCTTTTGTTTTGTTCAGTTCTCTGTTGATGGGCTGACACAGCTGATTTTTCAAAAAAGAAAGAAAGAAAATGAACTGAGAAAGAGTTGGTTTATCACCAGCTGTTTAATGCTTGAGATTCAGGTGGGCCTCTGTATACTTGTGGTGCAAACATATCCCACACACCTTCATCCTCCTATTTTCCCCACAACAACCCTGAGTGGTGAATTGGGCTGATAGAGAGTGACTGGCCCAAAGTCACTCAGCTAGCTTTCATGGCCAAGGCCGGAGCTGTCTTTATTGCTCTTTAGAAGAAGCTGTTACATTATAGTCCTTGAGCAGACACGTCTTTTCATCTATTGATTCTATGTAGCCTAGAAGAAAAAATATAACAATATTGGTAAGTCTTTGCATAAAGGTGTTATTTTCTTTTTATATCAGGAAAAGTGAAGCAGAGATATTGGTCTATTGATTATTTGTGAATTCTTGGTCAGTGAACACCAGACCAGTGTAAACATGAAAGCTCTACTGAAGTTACTCTTTAAATTTCTGGACCATGCTGGTCAACAATTCTTCAAATATAGGGCACTTCTTATGATCAGCCCTTCCTTGTTTATTTCTGTATGACTGTAAGAAAGTTATTATGTATTTCCCATCCTTTGTAACATAGTAAAAAAACGTATTACTGTTATTTAGCAACATACTAACGTATTATTTTTAGCACTACTACAAGTGTAGATAGAACTCCTGTGGCTTCCTTGGGCTTCCACAGAAGTTGATAATGGATTTGAGTATAGTTAGTGCTGGCCTTATGACTGTTTGCTTAAGGACCATTCAAACTTACAGTGGCTCTGGATGTGTGTTTTACAGCCCATAAAATACTTCTGGCTGTTTGTAAATGTCATGCCTGTCCCCCCCCCCTTGTGGTCATATGACTGCATTTTGGGTGCTTCATAACCAGCTTGCCGTTATTATTAGTAGATCCTGCGATCACATGATTACAATTTGTGACTTTTCTTTTGCAGGATTCCAATATTTTTGGCAGTTTTCAGCAAAAAAAAGCCTATTAGAAAGAATTGATATGCATTTACAATCACCACAAAAAAAGGTTGTAAAATTGAATCCGGTCATGTGGGTGGCACAACTTACAATCAGAAATCTGGTTCCAATTGTATTCATTAGTTGAGGAATATCTTATGTTACATAGGTACAGTGGACAACTAAAGGCTCACATGCCCCACCTACCTACTGGAACTTGAAAGGAAAAGTCATTTGATAGCTTTCATATATCTGACTTTTTGTGAACAGGAAAATGTGTCATACAGGTAGACCTTGGTTAACAACAGTAATTGGGCCTAGCACTCTGCTGCTAAGCAACATGGTTGTAAAGTGCAACATCATGTGACCATGCCCAATTACAACAGCAGTTCTAAATTCTTCCGATTGCCGATTTAAGTGAATCCTGTGCAGTTGTTAAATGTAATGTCCTGCGGTTACCATTTTTGACCACCTGCTGGCTTCCCCATTGGTTTTGCTTGTCTAAAGTCATATTGACAGTCTCAAATGGTGATTGTAGGACACAGCGACCATCATCATTGTGCACTGATTGCCAAGTTCCCAAATTGCAGTCTAATGACCACAGGGATGCTGCCATGGCTAGAACTTTGAGGACTGGTTGTGAGTCTAATTCATTCATTTATAATTTTGAACAGTTGCTGAACAAATGGCCATTAAGCAAACACTATCTGTATAATTTTGATTTTCTTCCACTTTCACCTTAGCTTAACTGGATTTGATCTCCTTTCCCAGCATTATATCTCATATACGTAGATATGAATGGTTCCTTAGCCTATATTTGCTTGCTTCATTCATGCAGAGATCATGATGGACATCTTTTTACTTTCTGCCACTGGATTCTGCCAAAATAATAATATTAGTTTATAAGGTGGACATAAAATGGGTTAGAATTGTTTTTGGTATTCCTTTGTAAAATTTTGCTTCTGCTTTGGCCCAGTCCAGGAAGTAAGCTCCCATTTCAGAAATGTGGGAATAGAAGCAAAGATCACAAAGGGCATTTTTTTACTTTCTGCCACTGGATTCTGCCAAAATAATAATATGCCTTGTGCTTTTATTTTTTTCAACCTTTCTAATCTCTTCAGTTGAGGGGATTATGGTGCAGCTTCTAAGGTCAGCTTAAAGAAAAAGGAAGATGGTCCTTGTCTTCAAAAGGATAGAAGGGAAGGATGGTTAGAATCAACTTATTTTAACCAAATTCAAAATAAATAGAATTTGAAGGGGATTTTTGTCACGAGTAAATAGATATATATATATATTTTTCTAACATCAGTATCATAAAATGTCAGTGCAGTATCTTATGGTATTTTCCTAGAATGAATTGTGAAAATGTACACATAGATTGTCATGTTTTTGATATTTAATATTGCAATTCCACAATATCTCCAACCATATTGGGACTTTCATTTTGGCATCTGATGTTTTGTCTCACTAAAGTAGAACAACAGCACAAGAGAAGAAGAACATCTGAAACACTTGACGTTGCGGAGACATTGGAATACTTAATAAGCGCATTGGAAGAAGAGGTATAAAAGACTAGAAGCTTCATTTTGACCTCTTTGAGGTTTCCCTGTCTGAGAATAACATAAATACTCAAATACAAATGAGGTATCACAAGTATATATATATATATTTAGAAATGGGATAAAGGTACTGTGTATTGTGTATTTGATATATTCATTTACAAATTGAGCCTGCAATAAACTATTACACTAAGTTTACAGTTTGTAAGAATATTGTGCTAACCAACTTTCCGTGCTGGGTTTCAGCATACCATTCCAATTACTTAATAGTAAGAAATGTTTTATGATTACTGATCTGTTCAAGCTGTCCTCATTGATTTGATTGAAAACTCTGAGAAAATCAGGATTATGGATTTTTATTACTCAATGGCCTTGTTTAATTGCATTGTTATCACTGCTGACCCTATCTGAATTCCTAATTAGTCCCTCTTTATCTATGTAAAGACTGAATTATTACAAGCTTTATTTCATATATAACCAGAAATATAACCAGTTTGCAGATGAGGCTGTTATTGTACAGTGTTTTAGGATGATCAAGAAGAGTCATTTATTTTTAATTTTCTTACATTTCCCTTTTTTTTCTTTGTCTATGTGTGTTTCAATAAAGAATTTAGATAAGGAATGAAAGAGAATAGCAGTAGAGTATCCTTTAATTGATAGCTTTTGGAGTTACTGTAGCTGTCGTACTGAGAGGACATTTTAATGAGAAGTATCTTTGTAACATGTACCGTATATCACAACAAGACAATAACTTTCTAATATTTTATCCCCTCAGAGTTCTTTTTCTTTGGACTGTAACTTAGAGGACACGACTGAGGTGTTGGAGGCAAATCTGCCAAACTTCAAAAGCAAAATACTGAAACTCCTTTGTACAGTGTATGTATGCAAAAGATTTATGGATCTAGGTGGTGATGCATTAACTGTCAAGGGCATGAAATCAAGAGTCCAGTCAGTTCAACAGAATATAGGTTTATTGTATGCTAAAGCTCTGTAGAAGAATCTGAAGTACTAATGGTCGAAGCCAATAGGTGGTAGATAAGAGTCAACAAAATTCAAGGTGGGCTGGACATGAATCTCTTGTGGGCAAGAAGGTCCTTGAGACTGATGACGCATTTGACCCCTCCCTCAGGCTCAGCCTGTTCATCTCCTACATTAGCTACAGTAAAGGCTTTTAAGTAATTACTTTTGAAAAGTATTTCTTTACAAAGCTCTTTATTGAATATATTGTATGGCTACATATTTTTTCCCGTTTAAAGAATATTTGAAACTTGGAGACAATATGGGATAATTAGCAAAGTAACTAATTAGGAGAGTGGAGAGGAGGTAAGTGTCAAAATAGTTCTCTATTGCTGATCATTGGCTGCAATGCAGCCCTCTTAATTTAACCTGTTTTCTGCAACTGTGCATTGAGACACGATTCGCAGTGCCAGCTTCCTCTGGAATTTTCATATGAGCTCAAAGAAAGGATTACATTTTTGCCTGACCTTTTGCTCATTAGACCTTCTTTCAACTTTGCAAAGAACATACTAACACCTGAGTCTGAAGCAGTATAAAAGCTGTGATTGAAACATTGGAAGTTATATTGTTACATACATAGTAGAATGTTTCCCATAATTATATACATGTCTGTGTAATTTCCCACTGGGATTTGAAGTACATAAAGAGTTAAATGAAGACTGAATTGACTCTCATGTTATCTTTTCCCCAATATATAGTAGACTTCTTGTCAAGGAAGACACTGCTTTTCAAAATTTAGGCATTCTAGTAATTTGAAAATCACACATGGGGTAATGAGATGGCACTTGTGATTTGAGTTAATAATTGATGCTGTTTTTTCTCTCCTTTATGGAAAAAAAATCAGTGCACATCTGCTACCACAAAAGATGACCCTTTACACAACTCTTGTTGGCTTGCTGAATGCCAGGAACTACAATTTTGGTGGAGAGTTTGTAGAAGCGATGATACGTCAGCTGAAAGAATGTTTGAAAGTTAACCTGTACAATGAAGCTGTCTATTTAGTAAGTTGTTTTCATACTTTAAGAGACTTTGCTTAGTTTGGTTTTCAGTATATTTAAAGAGCTCACATTTTACCTTGCAGGCTGTGAAGATAAAAAAATGGCTTATTTCTTCTGACTTTGTCATAGTGCTCTGCAGTATAAATGGTGTGCCAGGTTTTGTGATGTAGATTTGATAGCAATAGCATTTAGATTTATATACTGCCCCATGGCATTTTACAGCACTCTGAATGGTTTACAATGTAAACATTATTAGCATATTGCCCCCAACAATCTGGGTCCTCCTTTTATCGATCTCGGAAGGATGGAAGGTAGTCAACCTTGAGCCCTATCAGGATCGAACTTCAGGCTGTGGGCAGAGTTTGCCTGCAGTACTGCACTTTAACCATTGTACCACTACCACTCCTAATAAATGAGGTTTAAGTGTCTATTCAGTTGTGTCTTGGGCCTGGGATTTCTGTGACCTTGTAAAAAACACTGAAGCAGATACAGCCTAGGCCAAGGGTAGGCAACCTTGGCTCTTTTATGACTCGTGAACTTCAACTCCCAGAATTCCTGAGCCAGCCATGCTGGCTCAGGAAGTCCACGAGTCATAAAAGAGCCAAGGTTGCCTACCCCTGGCCTAGGCTTCTGCTGTGTTCTTGCCTGGCCTTATGAGTACTCTTGCTGATCCATGCTTTAGGGAAATACATGATTGAGAAAGGGCTGAATGTTCTCTTTCTGCAGGTCCGCTTTCTTTCTGATCTTGTGAATTGTCACGTAATAGCTGCACCCTCAGTGGTAGCCATGTTTGAGAATTTCGTTAGTGTGACGCAGGAAGAGGATGTACCTCAGGTAAACAATAATACTTTTGCTTCATAGATAGAGAAATAAATTGCTGAAATTTGTTAGGGTGTTTTTTTTTTTACATTTTTGTGCTGTGTTTGTAAACATCATAAACCTCTCCTCAACTTGTATTATAATAAAAGCCTAAACAGTAGGCTATAAGATTTGGCTACGTGCCCTCTGGTGCTCTTGTCACAATCTCTTATGGCCTTCAGACGGAACATAAGTACGACAAAACAAAATGGTATCTGCCCATGATTTAGATGAGCAAACAGGGCCCTTAGCATTGTCCTATCTCATATTAAAAGTCTGCAGTCCAAAAGATCCACAAAGTAGCTCCTAAAACATTTCTAAAACCTAGGTTTGTAGAAAACCTTTTAATCATGCCAATTGCTGTTGATGACTTACAGAAGTTTGCCAGGCCCTGGCTGATTTCATTTACACCAGAGAGTAAGTATTACATCTTAAATACAATCAGAAGGAACGTGTGAAATAGCTCCTTGGGGGGGGGGGAATGGTAAATAATAGAGCATCAGCACAACGTAAGGAAAATGTTGGCTTTTCTGTTCTATATTTTCTCATTGATTTGTGCAGATTTAGTACTTATTCCCTTACTCGCCTTTGTGTAGAATTGTTTTGGAAGTATCAAAATCAACCATTCATGTGCACATGTGAATCTGGGCCCTTGAAAGGTTGTACCTGAAGCATCGTAACATAGAGCTAGAATTGTGTAGTTCTTCTTATGAAATTCAAGCCTTTGACCTGATTTAGCTTTTATGGCAAGAACCAAAAGTATTTTCTGAATGCTTATTGTCCATATTTTTACTTAACAGGTGCGATGTGACTGGTACGTGTATGCGTTTCTGTCATCCTTACCTTGGGTGGGCAAGGAGCTCTATGAGAAAAAGGATACTGAAATGGAGCAGATCTTGTCTACTGTTGAAAACTATCTGAAGTAAGAAAATGAGAGAAAACATTACTTTGTGTTATTATGCTTTAATAGAGCATGAACATAGAACATGTAGACGTCATAAATTTGCAGAAATACAACTCATTGGCTGTTAAATGTAGAGGTAATAAATAACTTCAGACTTTTAGGCTTAAACCAAGTTGATTTTGTTCCTTTTTTAATCATCATCACCTGACTTTACAACATTGAAAGATTTAACAATATTCTTAGTGGGGACAATGATGCTGCAGAACAATAATGATAAAGTCTCAAAATTTGGCTGAAAGGCACGTGCTCATAATTGCGTTCCGTTGACTCTGAAGACAGGACTAGAATAAATGAGTGCGAATTCCTGGAAAGCAGTAGGCAAGTTTGCGGCTTAAAAGGGGATCTGAAGTGATCATAGGGCTGACAAGAGAATTTTGTAAGTCTTGGGCTGTATGGTTCTAGAAGCATCTTTCTACATAGTAGCTGAGTCAATTATCCCCAAAACCTACAGTAGTTAAGAATCAGGTCATTGAAAGCACACACTTTTTTAGCCAGATGCTTAGTTTTCCCAATGCCTCCTGCCAATTGAGATGCACTATCTGGTTTGAATAAAGTGCTGTTTGTTTCAGTGTCTTTCTGAGTTAAAGTGCAAATCAATTATCAGTAGCCTTGAAATGACTATGTTCTTTTATGGCAGACGGCGTCAGAAGACTCACATGGCCATGCTGCAAGTTTGGTCCGTTGATAAACCACATCCACAAGAAGAGGTGAATATGATTAGGGTTTTGAATTCTTGTCCTCACATCCATCTGAAGAAACATAAGTGCAAATGCATAATTCCGGGTTTTGCTTCATGAAGTTGACACTATTCTAATGAGAAAGTCCTCCCAATGGCTTTTCTTTATTCTGAATTTTCCCCTTGAAATGGTTTCTAAGAAAATTGGGAAGGGTGATTTCCTATAGCACGGAAATCAGTCTTGCTTTGGGAACATCCTTGCATTCCGAATATGAAAATGTCTGACGGATGCTGTTGCCTTCCAGTACTTAGATTGCCTTTGGGCTCAGATTCAGAAAATGAAGAAGGACCACTGGCAAGAGAGGTACATTCCGAGGCCATACCTGGCATTCGACAGCGTGCTTTGTGAAGCACTGCAGCACAACCTGCCTCCTTTTACACCCCCACCCCACACCGCAGATTCCGTTTACCCGATGCCAAGAGTCACCTTCCGAATGTTTGACTACACTGATGATCCTGAAGTAAGTTAATGATGTGGGGCAACATCCTTGTGGTGTCTTGTCTGTTGGGAAATGAAATGTTTTCGTCTTTGGTGGGTTCCACATAATATGCCCCTTCGCCTTCGGTTTGGGTCATTACTTTGTCTGAAACTACTTGTTTTGTCTATCTAATAGCTCCCTTTACTCCATGTACCGCTGCTTTTGGGGGTCTGTCTATTTGTTCTTCAGAGCAGAAAAAGCTGCTTCTAAAAGAGGCAGCTGAACTTTATGCTGAAAAGTATGTTATAAACATTAAATACCTACAAACTACTCTATTAAAACTGTTGGAAAATGCTATGATGCCGGTGATGTAATCATATTATGCCTTTTGGGGTGAAAATGGAGTTTTGGACTGTACTAATAAATTAATCTCTGTTGCTTGTTTTGTCAGGGCCCAGTTATGCCTGGAAGCCACTCTATTGAAAGATTTGTGATCGAAGAACATCTTCACTGCATCATCAGATCCTTTTGGAAAGAGAGAACAACATGGTAGGGATATATCAATGTCCATATCTATCGGCCCAAAGAGGGACTGACACTGCATGGTGACAGAGCCTTCGGCAGCTACTTCCAAGACTTGCTCCCATAAGGGAAAGAAGTTCTTTGAAGGAGTGGGTCCTGGCACATATCACAAAAAGTATAATTTTTGCACTTCCTGCCTGCCCTTTTAAATGCAAACCACATGCCTTTCTTTTTTTGTAGTGCTGTCCAGTTAACAAGCTATCCAGGAAACCACAAGATCCCTCTGAATTACCACATTGTTGAGGTAAATATTGCATTTATCATGTCACCTTTTCTTTTTTAGTGCCAGTGATCTTCTTCTCTGCTAGTAGTTCTTCATCTCAGAATGGAGCTTGAAATGATCCATTTTGAATTTGAACCATTTTTGGTACACCGGTATGGGATTGGAATGGGGCATTTTAGCACTAGAATTTTCTGACAATAAAATATTCTGTGCACCTCTTTTTTTTGCGAAATATTGCTTTCATATTTTTCCCAGGTAATTTTTGCTGAGTTGTTTCAGCTTCCTGTTCCGCCTCACATGGAAATCATGTACACTACGCTGTTTATTGAACTCTGTAAACTTCAGCCTGGATCTTTACCTCAAGTTGTATCCTTTTCTCCCAAAGGTTTCTTGTAGCAGTTAATACCTTTTGATAATAAAAGGAATGTTCTGTTTTCAACCATATTGCAATTAAACATTATAAAAAAAACAATTTAAACCTTAATTGAAAAACAACAGCTTGCACAAGCTACAGAAATGCTGTACATGCGCTTAGATACAATGAATACTATCTGCATAGATAGGTGAGTGAGGACATTCTCATCTAAATTTTCTGAGGACTTAGTGACTTGAGATGTTTCAGGGCAACAGAATCCATGATGTTTGTAAATGCTCCTGCTTTTATAGGCCTTCATATTTTAGGTCAGTGTTTCTCAACCTTGACAATTTTAAGGAATTCTGGGAGTTGAAGTCCACATGCCTTAAAATTGTCACGGTTGAGAAACACTGTTTTAGTGACTCCTCTCATTTAATTAGTAGAGGAAAGTGATTTTTTTCTATTCGCTTCTTCTGGAGCTTTCTTACATGGCATTCATAATCAACCAATAAGACCGCCATGTTAGATTGTTAATAAAAAATAGGATTTAATATTAAAATCTAGATGAGAGCTAATCAATTATTGGATGTAAGGCTGTGAATTCTTCAAAAATGTTTCAAAAATGATACTTTAAAATACGCTGAGTCTCAATTCAGCAACTCTTTAATCAGCCACCTCACTTTTGGGTGCCAGGTTTTTTTGCAGCATCTACTGTATGTCAAAGCTTTTGCAAAGCATGCAGGCACCTCTGGAATGGCTTTTCAAAAGACTGATTTACTACAGAATAATTGCACATTTCCCGTCCTCCAGAGTTTAGAATCTGCTGTATCTTGTGTTTCTGTCTATTTGTATGTAACGTCAATAGCAGCAATGGAAAATGAAATGTTTTTAATATAAAAATATTTACAGATTTTCTTTTTCCCATCAAGGTTCATTAATTGGTTTTCCCACCATCTTAGTAATTTTGAATTCCGTTGGAGCTGGGAAGATTGGTAAGCATTTGATTCTCTGTACAGGTAGTCCTCGAATTACAACCATAATTTAGCCCATTTCTCTCGCTAAGCGAGACAGTTGTCAAGCGACATTTTGCCCCATTTTACAACCTTCCTTGCCACAGTTTTTAAGCAAATCACTGCAGTGGTTAAGTTAGTCACACAATTGTTAAGTGAATCTGGCTTCCCCATTGACTTTGCTTGTCAAAACGGTTGCAAAACGGGATCACATGACCCCGGGACTGCAATAGTCATAAATATGAGCTAGTTGCCAAACGTCCAGATTTTGATCACATGACTATGGGGACGCTGTGTTATGTCGTAAGTGTGAGAAATGGCCATAAGTCATTTTTTTCGGTGCTGTTCTAACTTCGAATGGTACTAAATGTATGCACATAGGTGTAAATATGTTAGAACTGTGCAGTGGAGTATTCTGCAGTGCTTATATAACAGCACTCTATAAGTCTCTAAAGCACTTGTGTTTGCTTGTCCTGGATGGCTTCTGATTTTCACCCTCGTGATAATCAGTGCTATATGCCATCAAAAATCACATTAAAATCTCATTAATTCCTGGATTTATTTTATGGTTTACTGCTTTATTTTGCTGTTGAGAAGCACTTTCACGTTCTCCATATAGAAGTTGATGGCCATTTTCTGGGTACTGATTTGATTTACGTACAGTTGGATTTTCACTACAGGGATTCTGCATCTTATTAATTTTTAAAAGCTCTGTAATAATAATAATAATAATAATAACAATAATAATAATTAGTAGTAGTAGTAGTTTGGAAGGGACCTTGGAGGTCATCTAGTCCAACCCCCTGCTTAGGCAGGAAACCCTATACCCGTGGTGGCGAACCTATGGCACGGGTGCCACAGGTGGCACACAGAGCCCTTTCTGTGGGCACACGCGCCGTCGCACCAGTGCTATGGCTTCAGCTGGGTTTTATAAAACCGTTTCGCTTTATGCCTCAGCCGCCGTGTGCAAAAAAAAAAAAGGTTCAATCACTCAATTGCAACTTCTCGCAGGAAAAAAAAAGATCTCGCAAAGTTGGAATTGATTGATTGAACTTTTTAGTCCCACCCAGTCTGCCATTACAACCACAGCCATGCCCACCCAATGGGCCACACCCACCCAATGGGCCACGCCCACCCGGCACCCAACAATACATAAGTGGGTTTTGGGTTGCAGTTTGGGCACTCGGTTTCTAAAAGGTTCGCCATCACTGCCCTATACCATTTCAGACAAATGGCTGTCCAGTCTCTTCTTAAAAACTTCCAGTGTTGGAGCATTCA